GATCTGCTCTGACACTGGATCCAAGATTGTGAGGGAGAGAGTGTGCGCTAGGTGCTGCGCAAGTCACCGTTCCCGCCCGTACCCTGCCGTAGGACACACGCTGGACGTAGTCGGTAATGGCGGTCGAACCGTAGCTACACGAGCAGAGACATCTGTCCTGCCATTAACATCGCCGGTGAAGGCACCTGCTGTGCCGGGGAGTGCACTTTCACGGTAGAAACACTCGCACCATCACCCGAGTCAAAAAGAGAAAAACAAAAGAAAATTGCCATCAAGTAAATATTATTGGCATAAATAGCTGTAGACTCGCTGTCTGGGCGCATGCTATGTTGCCAGACCGCCGGGAGTCCCATTGTTTTGTCGTTTGTCTGCCTACCCACCAGCCAATCGTCCAGTTTTGTAGGCCACTGTCCTGCCGCATCATCTTTTACGACGCGCTTTTTTCCCTTTTGCAGCTGAAGACGACGGTTAAGAGGCTTACTGAGGAGGTGGCTGATCTGAACCGAAAGCACCGAGAGCCGGCCGGAGAGGTGAGTGCTTCTGAAGTTGTTTTTTTTTGCCAGTGTCAGTTTTGTGTCCGTCGCTGGTCGCCGCCGCCGCCGCCGCCACGTGACGTGTGTGTGTGTACATGTTTTGGGATTCAAAGGTCTGTAAGCGTCTGATATGTCAGGCTCAGCAAATGATGGTCCCCGCAGCCTGATATGCGGTGACAGTTCTCGGACACCTGATTTCATGCCGGTAGATGCGCCTGCGCTACCGCTGGGTATAGAGGTCGTGAGAACGGCCGTCCAGTCATCATCCTCATCGTCCTTCTGACGCGTTGTGGTGGTGTTGTTGTTGGTTAAAACCCTGGAGCAGGAGATGTGGAGCGGAACGCGAAGCTGCGGGTTCGACCGTGCCATCCGCCTGCGCCTTCACCCGCCGCCAGTCTTCTTGACTGTGTCATGACACCGGGACCGATGATAATAGGGTTTTGCAGGTAGAACCGGGAGGAGGAGGGAGTGCGATAGGTGCTGCGCAAGCCTACGCTTACTGTTAACTAACTCGCGCGCAAGTCAATGTGTCTGCCCTACCTTGCTGTGGAGCACACAGTGGACATCGTCGGGCACGACAGTCGAATTGTCATGTGTTGGGATTCGTCTGTGCAGACTTCCCTGGCAGCGCGCCGCCCCATGAACAGCTGTGGGCGCCTCTCGTGGTAGTTTTTTTGTACTTTGTCTACTAATTGGCAACGTACTTATTTTTAATTTGAGCGGGGAGGAGGACTCTGGCAGCCACGAGTGTTCTAGTCGTTGACCCTGACTGCGCAGCCGTCCAGTTTACGATCCATAATTGTATCCGGGGAAAAAGGCAGCACGAATGTCTGTATCAGTACCGTCCGACGGCGTTAGCGGATTTTTAACGGGAGTTTTAGGAACAAAATCTGTGTTACTCTCAGACCGTAGCCACCCACACTTCCATGGGAGAGAGTCACCCAGCAGCAGCCTCCCCCGCGTTCTTGTCGCTTCACTCTGTTTTTTTTTCGAAAAGACACTGATTCGCAGTTCAGACTGGTTGCAGTTCCCTGGCACCAGCCCTCTCTCCTTTTACTTATTTTCCACCATCAGGACACGCTGTTATCGGTCATGCTGTGTGATGACATGGTGATGTCACTGAGTGCGCACATCCGAGAGGTGAGTGTCTTCTTGACCATCGTCATACGTGTATGTGGCATCCGTTGGACGCAGGCTTGTGCAACGTGAGTCACTGCGCTCAATCTCTTCACCAATCAGCCGACAGGACATTGCTACACAAGTACAAGCGAGACCGGTACCGAAGTCACCCCTGTTCTGACCCATCAACCTACTCCTCGCCAACAAAGCTGACTGACGCGTTAGAGATGGTGACTTTGATAGTCTTCAGCTAGTGGGATAACTCGAGGCTAGATCGCAGTTGGTAGCCAGGAATGGGGAAGCGGACGGCGACCTTAACCCTTATCCTAACCTCAACCTTAAACGTTAACCGTTAACCCTAACGGCAACCCTAACCCTAACCGAAATCGTAAACGGGACCGTAGCCCTTAGACATAGCCGTAACTGAAAAACCTAACTGTAATACTGTAACCTAATCGTATTCTCAAACCCTAACCGTAACCCGAAAACCTAAGTCCAAATGCATAACTCTAACCCAAAAATCGGGAACAATTAACCGGTGCCGTAATCCTAACCTCTCAAACGGTAAACGGAAGCCAAATGGGTCAGATGTGATTATGGAGCCCCACAAAATAGCCACAATAAGCAAACCCCCCAGGCACATGTTGTAATACAGGGCCTGGCTACCAACTGCGATCTAGCCTAACTCGACCCTACCATCAGGGAAGCAGGTTGGACGGAAATAGCCTCAAGCAATGTGATACCCGAGACCTCATTCACGCGCAGTTCACCACTGCGCCGCCGCCGCTCCCCCCGAGGGGGCAGGGATGTGGCAGGCGAACTGTAATTGGAGTCTGGTGCTGCTGATATATGCGACTACTTGCGTTCTTCAGCGAGGGCTGGTAGATCATCCTGACTATAGCTAATAGTTTGAACCGACGCGGTTCGTGGCCGGGTCACTCATTTAGTGAGGGCGTAAATGACCGCGAGTTTTCCCTGTCAGTCGTCTAGAGGTGTGATCGCGTTACGAACCCTGGACACTCTGGGCAGGACTACTCGTAGCGGTTAATATCAGCTGATCATGTCACCCGTGCCCTATGTCCATTTAGCGCTGTATACACCCATATCTATACATTCTGGTGACTCTGATGCTTATCTCCGTCGCTGCCTGGGCCGACGTCTGCCTGACGCAACGTTTAGAAGTTTGTTCTCGCTTACACGCGCCATGTTGAGGAACTAATGGAATTCGCATACTCTCCACGCACGCTCAGCCGCGTTCGTCTAAGGGATGTCAGGGGCGAGACACCAAGTAGGCTCAGACCACCCCGCTGATACACCACAATCGCCTGTTTTTTTCAATTGACTGCTAATTACCGCTCTGTTTGCACCATTTCTGCTTAACCATGTTCCTTTATTATCCCCCCCTCCCCCTCCCCCCGGTAGGTCTTAGAGAACGGGAACTGCGCCGATGACGAAGAGCATGTGGAGAATGGCCATTGTGCTGCTGCGCCGAGCCAACCAATTAACGGCGGTGATTTTCAATGAGGGGTGGGGGAACTTGTTCTCTCTGCCCTCTCCCCCTTTGTGAGCGCTTTATCGTTTGGTGATAGTGTGACCCTTTATATGCCCGCCCC